TTTAACATAGGTAGAAATTATTTTTTAAGAAGGGTCGAATAAAAATATTGTGCCCAATTTGCAAGGTAGCAAAGCTGGTCTAGGTATTGTATAGTAGCAATACTTGTATTTAGTGACTACTTTGACAGTTTGCAAAGCCTTTTTATGTATGCCATCTCATTGATCCTTACAGTAGTCCTATGTGTAGACACAGAGGTGTATTATCTTCCTGTTACAGAACCATTTGTTGAGAAGAATTTCTCCATTGAATTGTCTTCGTGCCTTTGTCAAAAGTCAACTAACCAGGCTTACTGCATAATAAGAAATAACGTATGTGACAATATTAACACAAAGGTTGAGAGAGGGAATGGAGCTATGTAGGAGCAAGGAAATGACATCACAGAGTAACCTGAAAAAATGAAGAGTACCAGAAATATTAAATATGTAGGTTAATATAAAAGACTAATCTATTTTGCAATCTTTTCTTCTTTTAACTTTTAGAAAAAATATAAGATTGTATAAGGCAATAATTATAACACTGTATTATTAAGTTTATAATATATAAACAACATATATGACAGTGATAGCACAAGGAAGAGAGAAAGGATTGAAAATATATTGAAGTTTCTCTATTTTGTTAGAATCGAGTTAGTATTAATCTGAGGTAAATTGTAATAAATTAAGATGCATATAATAATCTCTAGAACTATAAGAAACTAAACAAAACTATAGTAAAAGAAAACAAAGAAATTAAAATGGTGCACTAGAAAATATCTATTTAATACAAAAGAAGGTAGCAAAGCAAGAACAAAAAAGACGAGATATATAGAAAGCAAAAAGTAAAATGGCAGACATAAGTCCAACAGTATCAATATAAATTTTAAATGTGGAAGGATTAAACACTTCAATCAAAGGGCAGAAAATATAAGACTGGAGATAAGACAAGATCCCACTATATGCTCTCTGTAAGAAACACACTTTCAGAGACCAGTTTGGAAAAGTTTTAGCTATTGCTTCTGCGATAGTCTGAATGTGTACCTCTCCTACCCTGAATTTTATATGTTGAAATTCTAATCCTTGAAGATGATCGTATTAGGAGGTGGGGCTTAGGGGAGGTACTTAAGAAGAGTGGAGCCCTCATAGATGAGATTAGTGCCTCATAAAAGACACCCCACAGAGATTTCCTGCCTTTTCCATCATGTGAGGGAACAACGAGAAGGTGCTAGCTGTGAAACAGGAAAAGGACCTCTACCAGAACAGGACCCTGCTGGATCCTTGATCTTGGCCTCCAGAACTAGGAGAAATAAATTTCTGTTGCTTATAAGCTACCCGGTTTGTAGTATTTCCTTATAGCAGCCCAGATGGTCTAAGACATACAGCATTCTCTTCTTTCTTCTGCAGTTTCAGTTACACACATGGCACCTTATTTGATACGGTACCGAAGGCCTCTCACATTTTATTTTTATAAATTCTCTTTTCTCTCTGTACTTCAATTTAGTTTCTTGTGACCTGTTTTCAAGTTTGCTAATCCTTTCTCCTGTGGTGTCTAGTCTATCATTAAGCCTAGTCAGTACTTGAAAAATATATATTATTTTAAAATTCTATAATGTCCATTTTATTTTCTTTCGAACTTCCATTTTTCTGCTAACTTTTTAATCTTGTCACCCGTTTTGTCTGTTATTTTTTTTTTCGGTACTATAATATATTTCCAATTGCTATTTTAGATCCTTTAGCTATTAATTCCAACATCTGAGTTTTCCAGCAACCTTAGTTTCCTGAAGGTCTGCTCATGTTGACTTTTTGCTCTTGATTATTAGGTACATTTTCCCGCTTCTTCACATAGCTTATAATTTTCCACCGGACAGTACCTATAAATAATAGACTGATGCTGGTGCTACCTCGCCCCCAAAGAGCTTATCTTTTCCTATATCTGGCAAGTAGGGTATAGGCCTGATTTAGTCAGTCTTATAGGAAGTCAGGAGGGGTTATGGCTGAGATGCGGCTTCAGTTCTCTCAGTTCTGTTCTGGTTTCAGATGTCTTGAGTATGGGATCAGGCCTCTGTCTTCAGCAAGACTTTGTGACTAGAGCTTGCTTGTTGTTTTTCAGTCCCTCCTCTAGCTTTGCATGCTGTTGCTTAAATGCAGTAAAAGCCCCATGAGAGAGAATTGGTGAACTGGAAGGGTTAGAGTCCTTTCAGTTTCTAACCCACCGTGCCTGTTCATATGCAGCTATTACAAGTATTTCTCCTTGTCCCAGTGAAGTTGCTTGGCTATGACAGGCTCCTTCCTTCAGCCACTGTTGTCCAGACTTAATAATGGCCCTCAGGAACAGAAGTGGCTTTCTCTTGGTCTCTGCTTACTTGGGAAGGGCTCATTTTCTCCTTGGAATTTAGTTCCTTTAAACTTCTTTGTGTTCATATCTTTTTTTTTTTTTTTATGGTTTTAAAGAAAAATGTAATATTTTAAAGCAAATCAGATATTTTCTCTTTGTTATAGTAGGAATAGTGGTCTTTTAAGATTTTCTACATTCTAATTAGTAGTGGAACATCTTCCTGCTCTGATACTGAATAAATAATATTGAGGGAAAAAGTACATTGTCCTATGATCATATCTTAAATTTTTATTCTTAACCTTTTTCATCGTGTAGGAGTCAGCAAAACGTTTCTTAAAGGTCCAGATCGTAAACATTTTAGGTTTGTGAAAGGGACAAAATTGAGGCTACTATGTAGGTACTTATATGACCGTACAAAATGCCCCATTTAAAGATGTAAAGACCATTCTTAGTTCCTGGGCCATGAAAAAAATAGGTGATCATAGTTTGGCAAGCTCTGGTATAGAAACATGTGATAAAACAATTTTAATGTTTGCCAAACAAAAAGCAAGCAAATATGAAATACTTTTAAGAAATCACATTCTAGGTATTACACCATCAACCATTATATTTACAATAACAAGTACCAAAATTGATGATCCTGAGTTAAGACAAGTTGAATTTTTTAGTGTAATACAGGTGCATAATAAATTTTAGAAGAATGTCAAATATATTTTAAAGTTTATGTACCTAATGATTTATTATCGCCATATGGAAACCTTCATTCAGAAAACCTCATTCATTCTGCCCAGTTATTTTACAACATATTGGGCATTGACAATTAAAAAAAAAAAACTTTGACCTTGGAAATGAGTACAATCCAGTGGAAAGCAGACATGTAGATGGGTAAATACAAGGTAGCGATTATAGTAATGTAGGTTTGCACAGGTTCCACGTAGGTTTGCCTAGAGGTTGGGGAAAGGTGACAAGGACGTCTTAAGAGAGAGGATGATACTCTACTGACTCTAGAACAGGGATTACGATTTGCCAGGGTAGACAGATTTTATTTATCTAATAAGTGTTCTGTGGCAGTTATGTTTAATAACTGAAATATTGCTATATTGTTGATTTAATTCTTTCATAGTCATTTTTTAAATAGTTTGACTGTGCGGAAACAAACTTAGAAACTCATTCTCTCCTCATCTCTTGCCATGCCTTTGTAAACTTAAATGATAGGTAGTAGGTAGGCAGCCTTTTGTGACTGATGTTCTAACAAACCAATTACCACTGTGTAACATGTAGTGATTAAGTGATATTTTAGCAAGAACAATTTAGTTTCAGCTTTTCCAGAAGTTTATTGCAGTTTTACATTGCTTAAAAATCTCCAGTCTCTACTACAGATTTTTTAAAAAGCATTATAATTATTTTAGCAAGACTATTTCAAAGCAGAGACATTTCATTTTAGATTCTTTATAGGTTCAATAGCTAATAAATGAAGAGCTATCATAAGAATTTGTATTCAGGAATGGGAAATAGAACTTAAGGGGACAAACTGCTTAAGCACTTTTGCTAAAGAGAATATAGTGTTGAGTTATTTATGTATTCAGTTGTAGGATGTTAATATGCTACTAAATCTTTTTCCAATTTCTGGAGACTTGGTTAGCTTCATGGGGGAAAAAAACTGATCATTTTTTATTTGCCTGTTAAAGAAAGTTCCTCTGGAGGTTACATTTACTGAATTGTTGAACACAGGCTTTATGAGTAGGTAGTAAGTATTTTTAGTTTGTGGTAAACAAAAGCAGATAGTGCTTTGAAGACCTAGATATTAGATTTGATAGATTATTTTCTACTGTAAGCAAACTGAAATCCTTTATATTATTGATTTCTTGATGTAAGTTTTACCCAAAAAAGTTTTATTTCTCTTTATATTTTTCTCTTCGCTTTTATGAAGCATCTGAATACACTATTTCTCTTTTATATTTTTATAAATAAAATAAAAGTTTTATTTCTCTTTTATATTTTTCGCTTTTATGAAGCATCTGAATATACATATTGAGAACCATTAAAATATCTATATTCAGATCTAATAATTCCAGTCATTGGAAAGACCCAGCAACTATTTAAAAAGAAACAACTACTGCAAAGAGATGATATCACAATTTATCTTTATTAGCACCTTCACCCCTCAAAACCTGAAAGAGCATGGCAGCAATAGGGGACTGATTAGATAAATTATGAGTCAGTAGAATATTATATAGCCACTTTAAGGTATTAATTGTGAACACCATAGGGGAAATATTTATTATAGTCATTTTTTTAAAGGACAAACTTCAATACCAAATTGTTCCACTGTAAGATACAAAGTTGGAAAATGGGAAAGTGAATACTCACGATCCTTAGTCAGTTCAGGCACACTAAACACTCATTCTCAGAGTCCCATTCTGGAGGTTCCTAAATACAGTGTGATTCTCTCAGATATGATGATCAGGAGAGATGGGTAAATACAAAAGAAAAATACAAGTCAGTCAATAGTCCTTCCTTGCAGGATTTTCTGTGAAAAGATAACATTAAATGTTTATATTTGAGCCTTCAGACATTTCCTTAGCCTTATGGATATAATGTTATTGCCTACCTCTCCCCTAGGATTTTACAGCATTTGATCTTATTGACTGAGTGACTGAATCCTAAATGTATGTAACTTTATTTTCAGGATAAGGGAGATCTTGAAGGCATCTCGAAAATTGCAAGGAGACCCAGATTTGCCGATGTCTTTTACTTTGGCCATAGTGGAGTCCGATTCCACAATAGTCTATTATAAACTCACTGACGGATTTATGCTGCCAGACCCTCAGGTCAGTTTTGAGGCAACTAACAGTAAATAGTGAAAAAGAAAAATCACGATGTGATTTTAATTGTGAATCAAGCCATTCATAAAAGAACTTCTTCCTTTGCAGTGTGAAAATTCAGGAAAAAAAATGGCTCTATTTTCATACCTCAGAAAACGGCTATATTTTGTTCAAAGTGACATGTTCCTAGATTTTGTAAAAATAATTTGATTGCCTTACTCTATGGAGAATTTCATAGTTTCCCAGAGTACTTCATGAAGTCATGGTGCATTTTATTATTTGATGAGTAACTGAGGTGGAATGTAAAGGCTAATAATAGTTTTAACCAAAAGAACACTTCTTTAGGATGTGTTAAATTGGTTGACATTTTGACAGGAATATTTTAGTAAGTGTGTTATCTGTGATGTCTTTACATACTTTGTTGGCATTAGGATAATTACATTAAATATCTTTCCAGTTTTGCTTTTAAATTATTCATTGGGGAAAAAGTCCATCCTGATCTTTTTTTTTTTTTTTTTTATGTTACAGAATATTTCCCTTAGAAGATGACACCTACACTTCCTGAGGCTTTCTTTATTCATACAAGAATGGATTTCAGACCCATCAACTGCTTAACCTCTTATCTCAGAGATAGTCAGGGTTGGCTTAGCTGGTCCCATTCCATAAGTTTCTTTCTAAAGAATAAACCTTCCCCAGGTAGAATTGTGTTGTTGTTGTTCAAAAATATATGGTAGTCGCTCTAGAACTTTCTTATCTAGAGACAGTCTCATAGTGGACCATTACAGGAGAAATAGTAGGGGACAGTATCAGCCTTAAAAACTTCTTTATGACGTAGACCCAGTTATTCCACTTTTGTTATCATATATTCCACTTAAGTTGCCTAAAGTACAAAATATCGTATGCCCAAAGATGTTCTAAATGGCATTACTTGGAATAGCCCGAATTATAAATCTCTTAAAAGTTTAAGGGAGGGGTCAAGAAACTTTTCCTACATAGTCAGTGCCACAAAGTAAACATGTTAGGATTTGCAGACCATATAGTCTCTATCACAGCTTCTCAACTCTGCAGTTTGTGGCACAAAAATAATGACAGACAATAAGTAAACAAATGGACACAGCTGTGTTCCAATAAAACTTTATTTACAAATGCATGCCCATAGTTTGCCAATCCTTGGTTTAGAGAAATAGTCAATTAACACACACACACACACACACACACACACACACACACACAGTGCCAATGAATGGTACATTATATACTCATTAAAAATTAGTAATGAATATAATAAACATGAGAAAATATTTTAAAAAATAAGACGAGATACAAAATTGTCCAAATGGGTATGATCACGCCTGTAAGTAGCACGCCAAGCATGTAATAAAAAGATGACAAAATACTACTCTGGTTATAACAGGATGACAGGGTAGTAAAGGATGACTTGGTCTTCAGTATTCAGTTTTTCATTATTTATATTGCTTTTATAATAAAAATGTTTTTAAAAAGTGGCTTGAAATCTGTATTTATCATTGCATAATAATTTTACCACAAACTTATCAACTTAAAATAACACACACTTAATATCTCAAAGTTGGGTCCTCTATAAGGCTGTAGTCAAGTGTTGGCCAGGTCTGCAGTCTCATCTGAGTCTTGACTGGGGAAGGGTCTGCTTCTTCGCTCATGTGGGTTTTAGCAGCTTTCAGTCACCTGAGGGCCTCAGTTCTTAGAGCGCTGTTGGCAAGGGGCCACTCTCAGCTCTGCCACGTGGGCCTTGCCAGCACAACCGGTTGCTTTCTGACAGCCAGCAAGGAGAGAGTCTCAGCAAGATTACCTTTGCCATATTCTGTTGGTTCGAAGCAAGTTACAGCTAATTAGAAAACGATAAGAAGAATGGAAAAATGGCTAAAAGTAGGAACATTACAAAATGGTATAAAAACATCATTCTCGGTCTAATAGCTCCTGATTCCTTTCGTGATATTTTAATTTTACTTTTATTCTCAATGGAAGGTCTCGGAACTCTTTGAGACTCCCTCTGCACCCCCAGAAAGTCTGAAGACTTACCAATTCAGAGCAGTGTGCTTCTGTAACTCCTGTTGGCAATTCGCAGATCAAAGGATCCTAGAACAGTTCACGATCACTTCTTAGGGTTTCTGTTGCCACTTGATTCCTTCTGAGGCTTTTCATCACAGTGCTAGAAAAATGATGCATTTTCAGAAAGAACTGTAAAGCTTAGTGAATAGATTTGTGTGTTAGATCTGGTGGCCTGTGGTTCCCCAGGTCACTGCAAGACCAGAAGTGTCCTTTGTGGTTGACTGTGAAAGCTTACTCACAAATCATTAAAAGTGTACGTCCTGGAATATTTACTCTGTTTCAGAATGTTCCCTGTGTAATTGACCAAAGCTGTTCTATCCAGAGCCAGCCAGATAACTTGATAATACGAATAATGTTCCAGAACTGTTTGGAAAAGGAAACAGCCCAGCTGTGTCTCATTTTAGTGAAAAACTAGGTAAAGCGATTTGTGTGTGTGTGATCGAGTAACTTTGTAATTGCATTTACGTTCATGTCTTTTTTTTTTTTTAATGCATCTGTGTATCCCATTATCTTCCACAGTAACTGGCATATGTACTAGGCTCTTAATAAATGTTTGGTGAGTGGGTGAATGCTGCTTGTAGACTTGTTGAACTATATAGTGGCTTACTTTTCGCCTTAAGGCAAACAAAAATGATCCATTTGGACACCAGAGGGCACTGCTAAATAAGCATAAAATTTTTAGACTCTAGGGGCAGATCGGCTTGACAAATGGTGCTCTTGAAAATTTATTTTCAATCTGTGGGAAATAGCATAAATAAAATATAAATAAGTTTTATGTGCTCACACCCCCCTTTTTCTTTCTGGCATGCCTCTAAAATTACACTCTGTGGTCATTAAATATGTGACTTGATTCATGTTTTGCTCAAAATGTAGGTCTATATTTAAAAAATAAAGCTTGTTTTGGGCAGGGGTGGGTGGTGTGGGTGTTTTCTTTCTAGACTACGGTTATGTTCATATCCATGTGAAATGATGCATTTCATTTTTGTCTTACAAAGCCTAATTAATTAAGCAAACTTCAAGTTCAGATCTACATAGCAAGAGACCCCAGTGTTGAATCACCGAACTGGCTAAATTCCAGTGGTGAAAGGCATAAATCACTGCCGTAATATGTATAAACTTTCCCGTAAAAGGGGAGCCCTCTCTGGATGGGGCAGGAGCTGGGGAAGGGCTTGTGATGATTTCTCTGTGGTGCTGTCTCTGCCTTTGTTTTTTGGAATCCCTGGTCTGTGCGCCCTCTGTGCTGGGACAGCTCAGTGGGGCATTGGGCGACTTAGGCCCAGTGACTGCAGACTAACTTATTGTGTGTCTCCTCCTGGGCCTCTCTTGAAGAATGTGTTCCTAAATGGTAGATCTCGTGAAAAACGAGGGCAGTGGCGCGTTGGAATTCTAAGCTACAATTAGAAAAGAATAGTAAACGCCTATGATTTCATGTAACCTGCATTTTTTAAACTGAAACAGCTTTGTACTTGAATATGCCTGGGACCCAGCGACTTAACCAAAACTCGATGGAGTTTCATCTTCTCTTTCTGAGCATTTCTGCTCTGAATTCCTCTCTGAGGTCACTTTTTCCACTGCAGCCCCCAGCACGGAGGTTCCTGCCAAAGTTTACAGTTCTTCTGTACAGAAGCTCTTTATTCATCTGCTGTATTTTCACCTTGACTGTTTACATGTGCAGAATAATGTTGTACCCTCGGAACAATTAATAGTACAGTTTTCCCTTTTTTGCAGACCAATAGCTTTTCCGTTCCTTACCACCCCCACTCCCGCAGCCTAAGCCTCTTAATGATCTTTGAATAAGAACTGCTTGTGCTCACTATGGAAAGAGGTTGGAAAAGTCATGTGACTGACTGACGGGGTGGACGTGCTTTTAAAATGTTTAGATGATTCTGGAAAACTTCCCCCAAACCTATTTGACCAAAATCAAACAAAGATTGGCTTTTTAGGTTTCAGGGTACTTAGTGGCGGTAATAATAGATAGTATTTAATTGAAATTCAGTTGATTTATTAGTTTGTCTTTAGACATTAACTGGGTTCCTTCTATGTGCTAGATGACTGCTAAGTGCTGGGGATACCAAGATTAGTGAGATATGACCTCTGCCCTCAAGGAACTCAGCCAATTACAGCTCTCCTTAGCCAAAACCCTAAATGGATATTGTCAGTGGGACAGGAAAACCTGTCATGTGGTTTATGAAGTTTATACAGCTTACCTAATGGTGAAAGGGTTCAACAACTTTTGGCATATAAAACAGTTTTCAAACAATCATTGTATGTATATTATTTGTCTCAAAGGACTGAACTTTGAATAGGACACAAATATTACACAATGCACCTCTCGAGGACTTATTGTCTGGCTAGAGAGGGGAAAATCTTTGTATATGAGACAATTTGAGAGCATGGCAGTCTTATGTATAAACGCTAAACCATATTTGTGTAGTACTTCATTCACTACCAAGTGCTTCAGTACTCTGTTTTGGTTCTCACAGCAGAGCTGATGTTATTTACTTGTGATTGTTAACTTATTGTCCTCGTTTAATAGATGGAGAAATTAGGGTAACAAGTAGTTAAGCAATGGCTTCACGTAGTAGCATGTGAGTAGATAACGAGGACCGGAACCAGGTCTTTTAACACTCAACCCACTGTGCTTTTCAGAATGCCACTCTGTCTCTTTCTTGTATGGTGCAGAGAAATACATTAATGTGTGTCAAAGAGCCTTTGGGAACAAAAAAATAAAAATAAAAATTACTCGGTGCTAGAGGGAGTTAGGATGTGATTTAGGGATCAATTGTATTATCCTCTCTCGCTCTTAAACAAATATATCAAAATGTCAAGTTGTCTGTGGGTAATTTGGAAAATCATATTCATAGGCAATGTAGTTACAGTTTTATTACAAAGAATAAATACATTAACGTCCATGCTCTTACGTAGGGAAACCTATAACAATATTTAATATGGAATGAGAAAGAGCTCGGAAAGGTTCTCTGCTCATTGGAGCTAAATTTTGTGGAGTCACAAAGAGTAGACTCAGGGAACTTTTAAATGATGGTTTCGCCCTCAGTGAAGAGGGGTCTTGCACCTAAACATCCCCCAGATCTGCTTGCTCTTGCTATTATGAAATCCTGTCATAATTCTACTTCTTAATCATGAAGTTTCAATCCAAATAAATGACAAGCATTTTCGTAGCATCCCATGGGCAAGGCACAATGCTAAGATTTTGGGGGAACATAAGCCCAAATATCTTACTACTCGCTTCAAAGGATAAAGTTAATTAGTTAAATTGTTATAAGAGTTTCTAAATGTTTGTTCTCAATTTCTGTACTTACCTCATTGCAGACTTCTGATGTTTTGTGGATTGTCATTTGTGTGCAGACTACACTTTGAGTTGCATGTGTAAGAGCTCAGATGAGAAGTGCCAAGAGCCTACATCCGAACAGTAGCCCAGGTATGTTAGGCAGGATGGGCTAGATTACGATGCAGTAACAACTCGTGAATTAGTTAAACGAATGTTTATTTCTTGCTCATCTACACATGGAGCCCTTACTCTGGTCAGCAGAGCCTCCACCTTCTGGAACGTTGGTTCTAGTGGCAGGAAGAAGAAAGTACTGTAGTGTCTGCAGTAAAAAATGCTTCTGTCAGAAGCAACATATGGCACCTCTGCACATTTTATTGGCCAGAGCAAGTCACGTGGCTGGCCATAGTCAACTTCAAGAGGGAGAAGTGCAATTCTACCATGCTCCTGGACTAAGGAGCAGGAAAAGTCAGAGAACAGCATTTCCAGGTAATGGAGAGGCGAGGAGAGATCCATGGAGGTAGATTTAACAACCGATTCGCTATGGGGACAGAGAAGGAGGAGGAGTTAAACCTCAAACTATTCTGAGTCATTTTAGTTGACCATGAATGAGTTTCGGGTTGTGATGGGAAGATAGTGAGAAGACATTGGAAGAATTGGACACGGCATTAAGCCACCAAGGTGGGGAAAAGGTCAACCCAGGGGGCTGGGGAGGAGAGGAGGGTTTAGAAGACAAACTTCTCCCCACTTTTCTGCACAGGCTATGGATTTAGTATCTGAACTCAGAAGGGAGATCTTGTATACATCAGGAGCCTGAGATCACTTAGAATTTATTCTTCTCTCTGTTCTTATGCATTGTGAACTGTTACTCAGAATATGTTGTCCTGATCTTCCTAAGAATGAGAAAGAGGAAACTTTTGTGCCTACAGTAGAGGGAGTTTAGTTGGACCCTGTGAGGATATTTCTGAATGCAGCTGGTCAAACGTGAATGTGCTGATGGGGCTGGGTTTGTGAGGAAGCTGGGGCTTCTTTTCTGGGATGGATAATTATCTAGTGGGATCATGAACCTGGAGTATTTGTATCGGTCTCGGGGGCTTTCAGGGTACATTAGCATGGGTTGGGGAAAGAAAGTTGGGGGT